ACAATTCTGTAGTACATAAGGATGACATTGATTATGGGGTGCTGTTAATGCACACAACATCTTACCTCTTTTTATAATTCCTTTCCTCCCCTCACTACCCCACATCTCTTGGTCCCCTTCCCATTTGCAGGAGGATGCAGTGTTGTTTTTCCTGTGGTCTAGCTCTAAGTGTGTGCTCATAAGTGCAACTTTTGGAGGGTAACTGGGTCACCAATGTCCATCTACCAAGAGCTCAGATAGCTGAGTGTGCTGTTAGGAGGTGGAGGCAGTCGCTGTGTGACCCAGAAGGATGATGATCTCTTTCCCCAGCTCCTCCCTTCTCTGCTTCCCTGTGACAATAGCAGCTTCCCTCTCTGGTACCCTTCTGCCCTCGCAGCCAGCTAATAACCATGGACTGAGTCCTCTAAAACCCATGGACCAAAACAGATCTCCCTTCTTATAACTGTGCATTCGCTATTTTGTTACAGCAATGAAAAAAGTTGACTCAGTCTAAGACAGAGAAGGGAAAGAAAAATAGTTTAAGTTGAAAGCGCCACATTATGGGAAACAAAACTAGGGAACACAAACAGGTGAAACAGAGGGCTGCTATTTTTCAATGTAAGCCTTTTGTTTTTGAACCAGAAATCGAACTCAGGACCTTACACTAGCCAGGCAGGCACCATGCCTCTGCTACACCCCCAGCCCCCAGGCCCACCCCCCCCTCCCCCCGCTTTCTTTGCTTGTGAATTGGGTCTGCTATGTTGTCCAGGCTGTTCTTGAATCCTCTACTAAAAGTGATCCTCATACCTCAGTCTCTCTAGTATTGGAACTGAAAAGGCACATGTCACAACACATGACAATATAAGCCCTACAGCCACCTGATTTCCTAAAAGTAAATTTATTTTTAAAACACAAAAGAGGACTTTATACTGAAGGAACATAACATATGAAATGATGAGCAGATAGGAACTTTAAAACTAAGGGATTCTCTGGGTATGGTGGCACATGTCTGTAATCAGAGTACTCTGAAGGCTGAGGCAGGAGGATCTCAAATCTGAGCCTGGGTGACACAGTGAGTTTGACACCAGCCTGCACTACTTGACAGTATCTCAAAACAAAGCAGCTAAAGGACTCTGTATGCCAAAAACAACTTTATAATGCAAATTTAAAGGCAAACTGTTGGTAGTCTTTATTGTCCACAGTAAACTCAGAACTTAGAGCAGTATAAAAGGCATAAAGCTATTTCTGAAGTAACTGAAGGAGAAGAAAACAGTCCCCAGTGGCAGAGTACGGCTGGCTGACTCAAGCAGGTCTACTCTGGACTCACACAAGTGAGGGTGCATTCTAACGGGGTGTGGTGGACACACACTTGCAATCCCAGCCCTCTGGAAGGCTGAGGCAATCTGAATCCAGCATACCCAACTTGGTGAGATGCTATCTAAAAACACAAAATTTAAAAAGGGCTGCAGATGTAGCTCAGTGCAAAGCCCTGGGATCAATCCCCAGTCCTGCAAAAAATAAAATTCCAACACTGTTTCTCTCCTGAGGACCCCTAAGGGTTTCTCTGCTTCTAAGGATACTTTTATACAGTGAAGCATGAAAAAAAATCTAAAGACAGACCAAAACACAGCACCTAAAGTGACAGCAAGAAGCCAGTTCCAGGAACACCTGACTGGGAGGGTGGATGTGCACAGCCAAGGTGACTGCCACCACTCCTGCCTGAGGCACTACTATCTTAGAAGGAAAGGTTCTCACTGGGACTAGAAGGGACATCAAGCTTTGCTCCCTCAGGATGGGGCCTTGACCCCTAAAACAACAACACAACTCCTGCTGCTCATTCCTCTACATTCCAAGCAGCATATTCTCAGGCCAGGAACAGCAGGCCCTTCTGATCCCGAGACAGATGGGCCAGAAAGAAACTACAGTCACCCTGGTCAAAGAATGACAAGTGTAGGGGCTGGGGATTTAGCTCAGCAGCATAAGTGCCTGCCTTGCAAGCAGGCAGTCGTGAGTTCGATCCCTGGTACCGATAAAAACGAAAAAGGAAAAAAAAAAAAAAAAAAAAGAATGACAAGTGCTCCGGACTAGAAAGACCTCTGCTATCAGCTCACTGGTGTCAGTCTCCAAACGTTTAACCTAACTTTAAATGGGGTGGTGGCTAAGAAAGCTTTACATAAAGCATTTAATAAATCACAAAAGGCAGCATAGTGCTGACCATAACCCAGCAACCAATCGGGAGAAATCACGATGAAATCCACTCCAAGGGAACACCACTGACGCTCTGCATTCCTCAGACTCGCACAGGCCAAGGTTCAGGCCCCAGAGCTGACATCAGGAGCACTCACACAACCCTCCCAAGGGTGCTGCTGCTGGGGCCTCGCACTGGTGGGAAGCAGACCAGGCTCTCACTATTGGCTCAAAGCAGCCTTGTGACTTCTAACAGACATCGCACAACACAACTCTTTCTCACTTCAAACAGTCTGTCAATGCACTCTGTTAAATAAAAACATATACTCATGTAGCACAAAATTCTTGGGTTTCTGTAACTTCTATTCCAGAATACAAAACCATCCTTCCACGTTAAATCTCCATTTCCAAGAACATGCCGCCTTCCCTCCCCTCCTCTGAAGAAAATCATACCACTCTTATTACTGAAAGACAGGGAAAAAGGGGTCAACTTATTTGGGACCCCTCCTGCTCCTCGGGAGCTACTCCTCTTCCCCATTCCTATTCCCTATTCCTTCTCCCCAATAAATTTTCCTCTTAAAAAATTTTATGATTAAAATCTATAGCTTGGTAAATGATAGAATTCTACCTCGTGTTTCAACTCTCAATAAAATTATCTATCAGTTACTAAGGAACCACTGAGTCTGAAGAGAAAAAAAGCCAGGCATGGTGGCACATGCAGGTCACCATGAGCTGGAGTTCAGCCAAGCTACACAGTGAGTCCCAGCCAGTCGGAACGACTCAAATTTGGCCAAGTTTGCCAAACTATAGCCAAATGAACCACACTCAGGGTATGGTTAAGATGGAAATAAGGAAGCTGGCAAAAGGTATAATGAACAGCACTGTACAAATTTCCAGAAGAAGAAAGCCAGGCATGGTAGCCTACACTTGTAATCCTAGCTATTCAAGAGGCTGAGGCATGACCTGTCTCAAAATATGTAAGAAGACTTTAAAAGTGCAGTAGGTGTAGGTCAGCACTCTCTGGGTTCAAAATCCCCAGTTCTGCAAAAAGAAACAAACAAACTATAAAAACTCACCATTCATCTTTATTATAATGGATTTGTCATCAGAACAAGTGCTGAGAAAACCACCACTAAATCAAAGCCAAAATGGAAAAGAAAAACGCTCCTGTGAACCTTGTCAGTGGGGCGTGGTACATACAACAGATGGCAGCACAGAAAACAGCAAAGCAGGAAATACCAATCCTAAGATTCACACCACAAACAAGCACTCAGAGGCAGAGCAGGAGAAAAACTAAACTGGAGGCCAGCCTGGGCCAACCTGAACTACATGGCAACACTCTGTCTATTAAATAAAAATTACTGCTGTACACATACATTTGGCCAAGTCCACCACTACTGGCCGTCTTACCCACAAATGTGGTGAGACTAACAAAAGAACCACTGAGATCCAGGCAATGCTCGTGCACATTTTGGTCTCAGTATTCCAGAGGCCAAGGCAGAATCACTGCTATGTTTTAGGCTGATCTAGGCTGGTAGTCAGTTCATGGCTATCCCAAATTATACAACCAAACCCTGTCTCAGAAAACAAAACAGACAAAAGAACCATTCAAAATTTAAGGTGGCTGCTGAGATAAGAAAAGCTTCTTGGGCTGGGGATTTAGCAGAGTGGCATAAGCACCTGCCTTGCAAGGTGCAGTCGCGAGTTCGACCCCCAGTACAAAAAAAAAAAAAGCTCCTTGAAGTCTAGGTTGCCTGGTACACACCTACCACCCCACTATTGGAGGCACTGAGGATTGTGGCCAAGATCAGTTTGGGCACCTGAGAAGATCCTGTCTCAAAATAGTAAAAAATGGACAGAGATGCAGCTCAGTGGCACAGCACTTGCCTAGCCAGCTGGATGCCCTGAATTCAGTCCCTTCTCCAAATGAAAAGTTCGGGCTAAATGAAAGTAGACTGTGAGAGTCGTATCACCCTGCTATGGTCCTGAGGAAATTGGAGACCAGCTTTATTATGTGTCTGTCACTAATGTCCTATAACACAGACTTCATCGGAAACATGATTATAGACACATCTCAGGTTGACCATGTGGTCCTAAGTATTTGCTCCTAGGGTTGCGCATCTGAAACTGGTATCTCCAAGGATTAAAAGAAAAAAAAGCCGGGTATGGTGGCACACGCAGATCTCTGTGAACTGAAGGTCAGCCAGGGCTACAGTGAGTCCAAGCCAGTCTGGACTACACGAACTATACCGTGAGACCCTGTCTCAATAAAACTAAGATGGGAGGTGTGGCTAGCACTCCCTGGGTTCAACCTCCAGAGCTATGCCACACACAAGTATACACAAGAAAAGAGGAGGAGGAATGGTAACAGAAAAAAGCTAACAGGTACAAAGATGGTCGTAAAAAATACAACGGATGGCAGCACAGAAAACAGCAAAGCAGGAGATACCATTCATAAGATTCACACCACATCTTATCTCTCCAAAGGGAAAGATCTCAAAGATGTAAGGAACAACAAACACTAACTGAGTTCAGGCTGCGAGTGCAGCTCAGTGGCAGAATGCTCGCCTGGATGCTTGACACCCTGAGTTCAATCCCCAACAATGGGGGGAAAATTTTATACCCACTAACACAAGTTAACCATGTTAGTTTCAAAACTAATAACCCTGCCTCTCAGGTAAATAACTAAAATTACATACAGTCACAAAACCAAGTCTACTTATCATGCCCCATTTTGCCCTAAGCTTTGCAAAGAAGAATGTGAGGAAGGCAAGTGCTAGGCAGAATTTAGGAATCTCTGGAACATTAACTTGGGGACAACTCAGAAGACTTACTGTGGGCCCTGCATTTGGAGGTGACGATTCTTCTGTGCACACAGACAATACAGACGGGGAAGGCATGTGGGATGGTGTCAGAGTCGGCACCTCTGAGCCACTATCCAAGTTCAAGGCCGAGAGCCCGAAAGCATGGTCCCCATTGGTCTCACTGGCACTGCTTTGGGTAGAAGGCTTTAGGGAGTTTCGGAGCGTGCCACTGCGGAGGCAGGACGTGCTATGGAAAGTGCTGCCCAGCTTGACGGTCTTCTGACTGCTGTCATCAGAGTCAAGTTTGGGGAAGGACAGAGATTTTATATTGCTTACTGTAGGGATGGGAGGAAGGGACACTTTGGAAGACAGCGACATCTTTTCACAGTTGCCTAACTGTGGTAAAGTTATAAAGCCATTGGGTTTATGAAGAGGCTTGAAATCCAGGGTTGCCCGCTCCAAGGACGCCAAGACCTCCTCATCCTGCAACACAGACCCAGAGCTGCCTCTGGGCAAGTTACTGTCCAGTAACTGAGCCATAATGGGTCCAGTGGCTCCTACCAGAATGTTTCTCAGCTCCTCCTTTTCATCAATAGTTTTTAACTCCAGATTATCAAATGGATCTTCTTCACATTCAAAGTCAGCAGGGTTGAAATCTGCCTTTGTGTGGGGTGGGCTGAGCACTTTCTGCTTCATGGCACTGCTACTGACCCGCGTTGGAGTGAGGATGCTGTTGTGCTGTAAGCTGGCCAGGATAGGGTTAATAGGAGGTGGCATGGAGGCTGTACTGTGAGTCCTGGAGAAGCTCATTTTGCTGTCACCCTCTGGGCCACTCTTCGAATTCACTTTAGCTTCTGCTTCCTCAGCCTTGCGCTCTGCTTCCTGCTGGGCTTCTTGGATTTTCTGAATATCTTCAGCCCACTCGATGGTTTTCTTTTCCAAGGAGAAGTCATACTGCAAAGATACAGCAGAGAATGGAGGTATAAATCCAGGCAGCTGCCCCTCCCCAACCCTTTCACTCCTTCATCTTACACAAGAGAAGTGGTCCAGGCAACAACTATGGCATGTGTGATCACACCCACTGAAGAAGGCTGAAGCTATGTTTATATGACTGAGCCAACCATCCTCCCAGATCACGTCTAGGGATTCACCAGACAGTTTCTGTTGCCTCTAACCCTATATACTGGGCAAAACAGGCCACTTCCTTTGCCTCTCTCCCCTTGGGTCATTCCCTCCTTTGAGGCTCTTGCAGGGTTTAATCACCTCTGCTATCAAGTTCTTCTGATGGCCCACGCTTTCTTCTAAAATCTTATAGCACTGGCTGGGCATGGTGGTGCACACCTGTAATCCCTTCACTCAGGAGGCTGAGGCACAACAATCACCACAAACCAAGACTGTACATAGTTCCAGTCCAGCCTGAACTACATAAGTCTCAAAAAAATTTTTAACTTATTCTTTTAAAAAAAAACTTTTTAAAAGAAGAAAATCCTACATGCCAAGTGTGGTAGTGCGGACCTGTAATCTCATTACTCAGGAGGCTGAGTCAGGAGGTTCACAGAGAGTTCAATGCCAGCCTGGATTACAAAGTGAGTTCAAGGCCAGCCTGAACTACAGAGCAAAACCCTGTCTCAAAAACAACCAAAAAAATCAAAACAAAACAAAAACTTCATGGCATCTGTCTCTATTAGTCATCTGATCCACAGATAGCTTTAACATGTGATCTCTAACATTCTCCCAGTAGTATCACAAGCTTCTCGGAGGGAAGCACCCCACTACAAACCTTTGGAACTCTATTATCCAGCTCTGTGTCCTAAATACACCCCATACCTACTAACAGCAAGCTCTAACACTTAAGAATGCTAAGAGACACAAAATGACACAGATAATAAATGGTGTACACACTTTTCATGTATTAACTCCTTAGATTTTTCTCAACCCTTTAAAGTAATTATTTTGGATAGGTGTGGTGGCAAATGCCTGTAATTCCAGAATTTGGGATGCTGAGGTAAGAGGATCACTGTGAGTTTAAGGCCAGCTCTGGCTACAAAGGGAGTTCAGGACTCACCAAAAAAAAAAAAAAGTACTTATTTTTATCCTTACTTTACTGGAGCTATGCCAAAGGTCATAGAGCTGCCATGTGGTAGAACTCAGCTTTGAACCCAGAGTCTACCTACAGATTCTATGCTCTTAAACTATTAACAGGTTGTACTCAAAAGGCAGGAAATCTAGACCTGGGGCTAGATGTGTAGACCAAGTGGCAGATTAAAAATTAAAAAAGCAAAGAAATATAGATAACTTAGATTTCTACAGACTGAACAAGTATTTCCCTTCTGATTCTTTAAAATGCCTTCAATACAGTTCAGGGGACCGGGTATTTAAGCTCAATGGCATAAGTGCCTGCCTTGCAAGTGTGCAGTTGTGAGTTCAATCCTTGGTACTGATAAAAAAAAAAAAATACAGTTCAATTTACAAAACTTTTGTTAGCATATTTAAAAGACATACAACTACTATATAAAGCAAAATTCACATAGGACAGAAGAAAACAGTCTTTGGCAGTATCTCTAACGCATCAGAGCTAAACAGAGTCAGTGTGCATGTTCAAGAATGGACAGGGAAACAAAAGAAAGAATTCTAAAATGGAGAGACAAGCAACCTATTGAAGAAACTCAAAAAAGCTCTGGCCATCCTCAGGCGGTTTAGCTTCAGACAACTCCAGGGAAGCCTAGAAATGTGTGCATCAAAGTAATTTAAAATGGGGCATAGTGGTCCACACCTGTAATTCCAGAACTCGCAGAGGCAGGAGCATCAGTGCGAGTTCAGCCTGGGCTACAAAGTGAGCTCAAGGCCACCTGAACTGCATGGCGAGACCCTGTCTCAAAAAGACCAAAAAAAGAGAAGTAATTCAAATCCCTGAGCTAGATGCCATGTGCTAAAAGATACATGGTCACCACGATTCCACCACTGACAGAACAACAAGAAAACTGCACTGGGCACAGACCGCTGCTTCCAACCGAGAGAAACCCATCTTTGTAAACAGTTAGCTCCAGTAAAAACTGCTAACCACTTTACCACTACCTATATACATGATCTCTGAAATTTTACTTAAAGGAACCAGAAGTTTCTTTCTTGTTTTGGCAAATCTCTACTGAGTTTTCCTTTGTTTCTTCTTTTTTTTTTTTTTTTTTTTTTTTTTTTTTTCCTTTTTTTGATGGCAATGGAGGCCAAGCCCAGGGTATTCCACCTTGAGTTTATACTCCCTCCACTTTTTTGCAGGGGTGCAGGTGGTACCAAGACTCCATCCAACTCATGACTTTGCACTTGCCAGGCAGGCACTCATGTCACTGAGCTGTATCACTGGTCCCTTCCCCCATTTTCTGAGACAGAGTCTAAGCTGGCCCAGACTGACTCGTGATCTTCCTGCCTCTGCTCCCCAAAGTGTTGTGATAACAGGCACGTGCCATCATGCTCAGCCTAGCTTTTATTTCTACTAAAGTAATTAGAATACATGGAATCCTGAGAAAAACATTCTGGGGAGAAAGAAGGCAGAAACATTAAAGTAAACAGAATAACGTAGTTTGGGAGTATAGTAACAAGTAATAGCATCAAGTACTCAAGGAATATTCATGGAGAAACCAGCGTAAGTGTTATAATTGCTTTCCAAAAGTCTTCCCTTAATCTATTTAGTTCTTCCTTCCACTGCTTCAGGTGCCGGTAATCAACTACAGCCTAGGTATATTAAATAGAAAACTACAGAAATAAACAAATCGTTAGTTTTAAATTGTGTGCTGTCTGAGTCCCTGGATGAAATCTGACACCCTCTTTCACTGAATTCTGCCTAGGATATGCATTATCCCTTTGCCAGCATACTTGCACTGTGTTATAGTACCCACCAGGCAGTCACTTAATAATTAACTTGTAACCAGCTGAACTGTTACAGTACTGCTACACTTACAGAGTGAGTCTGATACCATGAAGGTCCTAGGTACCCACTAGTGGAGGCCCAGGCTGGCTTTAAACTCCTAGGCTCAAGCAATTCTCCTGCCTCAATCTCCAAAGTACCATGACTTTGGACAAGTGTATACACCACACCTAGATAAAAATGATCATTTGATCTTTTGTTTTTATTAGAGATAAGGACACAATCCTATGTGTTTTTAGATCACAATGTTACTAGTATTGTACACAAAAAGAGGTAACAATGGCCATTCACCGTCATCAATAAAAAAATTATCAGGAAAACAGAACAAGGAGAAATTTTATAAAGAAAATCCATACTTCTGGCCAATGAAATCTCCATTCACAAGAGAAGTAATAACTTAGTACTCAAAAATACCTATACTGTTCATCATTATCAGTCCTTAGGAAAATGCAAATCAAAACTCCGAGAAACAACTTCACATCCACAAAGACGTACACAAATCAAAGCAGATGAAGTAAAAGCCGTAATGCAGCTCAGTAGTACAGCATTTGTCTAGAATGCACAAGGTCCTGTGTTTAACCCTCAGCATCAGAAGGGTAGGGAAGGGGGCTGGAGATTTAGCTCAGTGGCATAAGTGCCTTGCAAACAGGCAGTTGTGAGTTCGATCCCCGGTACCGATAAAAAGGAAAAAGACAAAAAAAAAAAAAAAAGGTTCAGGGAAGACAATTAGTAACAAGAGCTGGCGAGGACCACAGAGACAGGACCATATTGCAGCGTAGGTGGGAATTCAGCATGCGCTGCTAACCCGTTCAAAATGCAGGCTGGCAGCTCCTCAGACTGTCACACTCAGAGTTAGCGCAGGACCCAGGAGTCCCGCTCCTGTGTATGGATCCTAAAGACCTGAAAACACATTACCACAAAAGCCTGTGTACCAGTGTTCATGGCAGAATCATTCATAATGAAGTAACCACAAAGTAGAAACTAGCAAATTATCTATCCACTAATGAATGGGTACACATGATGCGGTGTGCATTCAAATTCAGCCCATAAAAACAGATAAACCTGTAAAATGTTACGCTAAGTGGAAGAAGCCGGTCACAAAGCCTACATACATACCACTGGGTGGTTTACACAGTATATCCAGTGACGACAAAGGAGACTAGCGGCTGCTGGGGACCAGGGGACAGGGGAGAAAGGGTAACTGCTAGGGAAATAACCGGGTTTCTTTTAGGGTAATGAAAATGCTCTGGAACTAAATAGCAATGAGTTGACACAACTCTGAACATACTAAAAACCACCAAACTATATACCTTAAAAGGATAAACTTCGTGGCATGCGAATTATGAATCAGTAAGGTTAGTTTTAGGCCACTGTGTTCTCTGTGGCATGGCAGCCACCCTCATGCAGCAGGGCGTACTCTTCTTCCTTTTACTTGGTCCAAACTTGCTCTGCAGAGCCTGTTTCTTTTCCTACCCTTAATGAAACTTTGCTACTGCAAAAATATATACATTGTTAGGGGCTGGGGATTTAGCTCAGTGACATAAGCGCCTGCCTTGCAAGCAGGCAGTTGTGAGTTCGATCCCCAGTATGGATTAAAAAAAAAAAAAATATATATATATATATATATATATATATATACATACATACACACACACACATTTTTTAAAAAAGAGTATACATAAATGTTTTGTTTTTAATAAACAATAACTAGAGGCTATGAATGTAGCTCAGTGGTAGAGCACTTGTCAAAATGCACAAGATCCCAAAACAAAACAAACAGGAAAAAAAACACTGAATTTCTGATCTCTGATTATTCACAGTATACCAACTGTGGAAGACAGAATACTTTTTAAAGTAACATGGAAAGGCTTTAGTGAATCCCCCAGAAACTTTTTTTTTTTTTTGGGGGGGGGGGTGGTTACTGGAAATCAAACTCAGGATCTTGTGCTTGCCAGGCAGGTGTTCTGCCACTGAGCTACATCCCTGGCCCAGAAACAAGACTTCTTTTCCAGAAAGCTGTATTTTTTAAAAATCAAGTTGTTAGGCCACAGGAAGATGTATCTGAATACTATAGTGTACTTTCCTGGTTTTCTAATGCTGTCTAAACTATGAGCAATTTTAAGACAATGGTTAAGGCATTTTTCTTTCTCCTCAGTACCCAGCAGAGCATCTTTCAAAAGAGGTATTCAATAAATGCGTACTCAAGAAAAAAAAAAAAAACACACAGCCATTTGCTGCTTCCAAGAAGAAATTCAGTATATCTATACAAACTGACTTTTAAAGATGAAAGCCTTGAACAAAAAGCCCTTGAGGAGCTAGCATTTAAACACAGACTAAAAGAGTAAGTAGATTTTAACAGATAGCTGTTAGTATAATGAGAAACAAAAAATCTTCTAGGTAGAGACAGTAGCTCTTGGGGAAAAGCAGGGTAATGTACAAGATAAATCCAACTACTGATAACCTGACTGGAAGAGACAGCAGGAGAGGCGCTCAGTGCTCAGTCATAACCTTATGTCCACACTTAATGTAGTAACGGCTGAGGAATCATTGAACATGTCTCAGTAGTCTTGAGCAGGGATGTACAGTTTATAATTTTAAGACAATCATTCTAGAAACAATGTGGAAAATAGAAGAAAAATGCTGCCAGCAGAGGAGTCAATTAAAGAAGCTACTGCAATAGCCCAACTGAATAACAAGGTAGGGCTGGAACACAAAGTGAGACACAGCAAAACAAAAATATTATCTAATGTTAGGGACAGAGAAGATAAAAAGAACTGTAAGAAAAAGAAATGAATAATCAAGTCAGATGGGCAATGGGGATTTGTTTTTTGCAAGGCAGAGGCCCAGAAATATACAATCTAACGGATCAAATAAAATCTCTAGAATATATAAAACACACATGTGAATGTCACAGGCATGTGTGTGCATGCAGGCATGCATGTAATAGTGTGACCCAGACAGTAACAAGGGCTGTGAGAAACAAGTAAGCAACATAAAAGTGTTCTTCTGTTTCACTGTACATCAAATTCTTATTCTTTAATTTTAAAATATACTAAACTTTTAACTAAAAATCACCACTTACCTGTACTTCTCTGACAACCTGCAAACAATCAGGCAAGGAGAAGCCAATAGGTAGACCAACTTTAGCTGGTGTTTTGAATTTGTCTCCTATCTTAAATGGGACATCATCAAGGTAACTGAAAGTCCCTATAATCAAAAATAAAGTAAAAAATATCAGCAAAGAACTTCATTATTGGTTTTGCTATATTCTTATGCCTATGGATACACAGTAATTTATGCTATCCTAAGACTAGAAGTTACAAAAAGTTCCTGTCCCAACCTCTTACCTCCTCCTGACCCTAGACCTCTGAGGAACTCCAACTTCAGTCTACTTGATCTTCCTGGAATGTTTTTAATTTTACTTAGCCTTGATTGTCAAAGTACTTGCAACAGCCAAAAAGGCCTGCCTATGGCCCACGATTTCTGCCCTCACCTCTGTGGAAGTCATACTCTGGGTCCCTGTACTATGACATGGAGACCTGTGTTCTCAATAGCAACTGCTTCGACTGACCACAAAAATTCTGCACTGGCTGTTCCCTCTCTCTGGAATGCTCTTTCCTCAGCTGTTCACCTGAGTCGCTCTCACTTCCTTCAGGTCTGTGTTCACATATTCCCTACTGAGGCCTACCCCAAACACCCTACTTAAAATTGCTGCCCTCCTCTTACTACAGGACTTGTCTGCCTAAGTTACTTACCCAACTTTCCCTCAAAACACTATCTTCCAACCAGATTCTAACGGACTGGCATTGCCGAGTACACATCAGGCATTGGATACTCCTACCGAATTAGTAACAGAATACTCACGAAGACATATCCTTTATTTGGAATTCTCTAGATTTAGTTTTAATATAAAAGTTACTCTAGTTTTTGTTTGTCTTTTAAAGAACACTATCACATTCTAGAACAATATGCAGATTTTGGTGGGGGCATGCTGGGGATCAAACTCATAGCCTCACATACACCAAGTACAAATTCTACTACTGAGCCCCAGTCCAGTGAAGAAATATTTAAGTAGCACAGCACTTAAAAGGGAAAGGATAACCAGACAAGAGCATGGGAATCTGAACAGGATTGACAAGAAGACATAAGCTATATACAACTAAACTGCTTTAATCCTTCAAAGGTTTTCTGCCTGTCACAACTGAACAACAGAAAAAGGCCAGGAACAATAATCAACTTTAGTGTTACAGAAAAAGACAGTGCCTCTTTTGTAGTTTTTTTGTTTTGTTTTGTTTTGTTTTTTTAAACAACAACAACAAAAGGAACAAGAACAATGACACAGCCCCTTTTGGCACTCAGGCTCCCCACCCCCCCGCAAGCAACTGGCTGATCTGGAGAAACACAGGTTGAGATGATAGGTATTAAAGTAAAATACAACTAAACACTTGTTTAAGAGTTTTGCTGACTTTGCAGGTCTAAAGCTGGTAATCTGATCATCTATTTGGAGGGTAACAATACACAATGTAGCATCTATGGGAGAATCTTCTGAAAGTGGTGGCCACTATTAATACCCTATTATCTTGTTTTAAAGTCCTGTATCATTTTCATTGTTTAGTTTGGTTTTATTCTGATTTGTCTTGTTTGATTGTATTATATCTGATGGTATGGGCAGCTATTTCAAAGACAAGATACATTATGGTAGCCATTTTGGATTTATCTTGCTTTGAAGAACTGTATTACGTTCATTATTTTGCTTTTATTAGTTCTATAATGCTCTGTTTTGTTTGATTTTGCTGTCTGATAGTCCTTTTCCTTTTACTGGTACCGAGGATCAAACTCACAACTGCCTGCTTGCAAGGCAGGCGCTTATGCCACTGAGCTAAATCCCCAGCCCCCTTGCTGTCTGATAGTATGGGCAGCTATTTTGAAGACAAGAGACATTATGGTAGCCACTGCTGATTTTTCTATTATCTTCTTTTGAAATCCTGTATCACTTACACTGTTTTGTTTTAACTGGTCTTATTCTGTTTTATTTTGCTTGGTTTTATTCTCTTTAAAATAAAAAAGATGATACAGAATTTAAAAACAAATAATAGAATTATTAAAACTGGTTAAAGTATTGTGTACTGTTATCTTCAAAATAGTTTTCAGATTACTGGCTAGTACTATACTCCAAATGAACTACTTCTTTTCTGGACTAATCCAGAGAACTAACTTACTGGTAGACCCATCATGGGCAATGAAACACAGCTGATAAAATAAATTTTACTGTTTCAACCCCAGGTGTAGTGGCACATGTTGAACTCCAGCACTCCACAGAAGTAGAAGGAATGCAGCAAGTTCAAGGCCAGCCAGGCTATACAGTGAGTTCAAGGCCATCTTAAACTGCAGGCAAGACCTTGCCTCCAAAAAGAAAAACAGAAAAAGTTTTTTCTTTAACAAAAAGATTAATTTAAAATGGGTTATCTATGTGACATACATATTAGGAAAAAAATCCTATCTATAGTAACACTAACAAGCACATATATTAATAAAATCGAACCATAATAATACTAAGTGTATTTTTTTTTTTTTGAGGCAGGGTCTTACTATGCAATTCATGTTGGCCTTGAAATCACTCTGTAGCCCATGCTGGTCTCAAATTTGCAACGATCCTCCTGCCTCAGCCTCCCAAGTGCTGGGATTACACGTGTGTGCCACCATGTCCAGGTGAGAGTATCTTCTTAAAAGAACAATTCTACTGTAAACTGGTGGTAGGAGTTGAGTGAGGGTGAGGGGTAAAGTGGGATCCTACAAAAAAAGTTCTATGCTAAAGATATCTGAGTAACATGAGAATGTTCTCTAAAAAAGGGTGTCTTGGCCAGGCACAGTGGTGCATGCCTGTAATCCAAGAGCTACTCAGGAGGCTGAAGAAGGAGGGTCACAAGTTTAAGGCTAGCCTAAGCAAATTTGCGACTTTGTCTCAAAATCTAAGTCACAGGGCCAAAGATTTAGCTCAGCCTGTGTGGCTGGCGCAAGTCGCGAGTTTGATCCCTGGTACAAAAGAAATTTTTTTAAATAAAACATAAAAACTAAATTTTTAAAGGCTGAGGCTGTAACTCAGTGGTAAAGTGTCTAAGTACCATCACTAAAATAAAAAATTTTAAAACAAGAGTTCTGTTTCCTCACCTAACTCTCAGTCCAGAAACTATGCAACGTGATTTACATCAACAAACTCATGTGCCATAACCAGAACTCAGTCTAGGCTGAAAGACTGATGAGAGCAGGGAGACCCTTGAAACACCTGCTGCTTCCCTCACTCCCTTGTCACTCACAGACCAACTTTAAAAAGCACTGACAAAGCCAGTGCTGCAGTAACCTTCAAAGGCTTATTAGTCCTTTAGGTAACTGTGCGACTACTAGGAGGGGGAGGTAAAGTGTTTAAAAGAACAACCGGGGATGGAACTGAGTGGTAAAGTACTTGCATAGCATGCTCAAATTTCTGGATTAAACCTCCAGTACTTTAAAACAAAAATAAACAGCAAGAGAAGACATGGGGACAAAAAGAAAGAATAATAAAGACCACCGTAAGTATCATTAATGACAATCCTATGAGACTCACAGAAAATATTTTGCCAAAAATATCACCAATTATGGGGCTGGGGATTTAGCTCAGCGGCATAAGCGCCTGCCTTGCAAGCAGGCTGTCGTGAGTTCGATCCCCGGTACCGATAAAAAGGAAAAAGACAAAAAAAAAAAAAAAAAAAAAAAAAAAAAAAAAAAAAAAAAAATATATATATATATATATATATATATAAAACCAATTATGTCTTAGTAATTATCCTTTTGTAAAAAAGGTGTGTGTGTGTGTGTGTGTGTGTGTGTGTGTGTGTGTGTGTGGTACTGAGGACAGAAAACTGGACTTTATACATGCTAGACAAACACTCTAGCTCTAAGCTACATCCTCCAACAGTTAGCCAGGCTGGCCTTGAACTTCAGACCTTCCTGCTTCAGCCTCTCACATAGCTGACATTATTTATTTTATGTTTTAACAAATTCAAAGAAATTAATAATCACATGGCCCATATACCTAAGCAATGTAACAAAGATCTTTTAGATTTAGTTATTTCTGAATGTCTTAAATGTTCTTCCTTAAATACCTAAGCCTATTTTCCTAATGCAAATTCAAAAGAAAGCAGATCTCTGATGACTTGTGGCAGTGGGAATTAATAGAATTGTGGGGCGGCTGGAAAGATAAGAAGTATGAAATATAAATGACCTTTATTTTAAGAATGCAGGGAGAGACCCCCCCACTCTCATCCCCTGGGGTGTGGCATACATGTAGCTTAGGTTTGGTGTGGAGCCTGAGGGGCATTAGGGATGCACAGGTAGCCAGTTGGTATTCCTTTGGCGCCAGAGGTAAATTCCTAGGGGTGGGGAAGACAGAGCCATAAGTAAATTCTTAGGGGTGGTGGAGATGGAGCTCCTTGATTTTGCCTCTAAGGCTTTACCAGCTACAGTGTCCTGTCTGGGCCAAAACTCTTTCAGAAATTACCTGTAACCAGGCTCTGCACGTCGTTTTAGACCATGCCATAGGAGAAGACTGGGTGAATGTTCAACACCTCAGGGTAAAACCTGAGAAAACTTTGTTCTAGTTTTGTTTCTTTCTAAATTGCTGATATGCTTATGATCCTAGGTCTTGCCTATTTTTCTGAAAATACATCCTGTACAATTTCACATTGAGGGGCAGGGAGGAAGAATTTCTAATAAAAGGAACTAGGTTATGTAACTGGATTACATTTACTTCAGGTTTTACTGTAAGAGGATTCAAATCTAAGATTCTGAAAAAGAAGTTAAGATCAAATAAAACAGGTATAAAACTGCAATTCTTCTGTTTTCTCTATCTTAAAACTATAACCTAGGTAACACAAAACTATATAATTATCTGCTCTAAGATGTGAAGTCATAAGAAAAATGTTACATCTTATTAATAAAATAAACTAAATTTTTAAAAATTAGCCTTTTACTATGCAATGGTACTCAATAAAAAATTATAAGACAGAGAAAGAGTCAAGAAAATGTGGTTCATGATCAAGAGGAACCAGTCATTACACCAAACCCAGGAACAGTCAAGATACCCTAAGTATCGGACATATCAGACATGGAGCTTTAAATAACTAAAATAAAAGTTTTTAAATTTCATGGAAAAGACAATCATGTGTAAGCAG